AAAAAAAAAAAAGGCTGAGAAGCTGGATGGAGGAAAGGGAGAAATAGCAGGCATTGTCTTAGCACCAGACAGTATTCAGTAGAGTCATAGGTTTACATGCCCCTTTGTCCCAGTTATCTTAGGAGAGGAGACAGCACCCCTGACCTTCAGAAGCTGGCATTCCAGTGGCTCAGTCTGTTCTTGTTTGCTCAGAAATAAGAAAAGAAGGTCCCAGGGCCTCAGTGGAAGATGGGTATATCTGTGTGCCCATCCCCAGAACAGCATGAGCTACTCACCTCATGGCCTCATTAATATTTTTGTTTTCCTTGACTGATGTTTCTGTCCAACCTATGAAACCGTTCTCTTTACTGAACCGGTCCACCTGGTCTCGGCTCACGGCCCAAGGGGACAGGTCACACTGGCAAAGAAAGTAAATGGAAGGCAACACCATAAAATTCCTGGGAATAGGAACACTGCTCAGATATTTATACATTTAAAACCTTTCTGCCAATGGTTAAGCATCTATCAATTAATTATTAATTGATAATCTATTAATTAAAAATTAAATTAATTTTTAAATTAAAAGGAGGTAGAGATGATTTTGCCAACTTGAGAAGGAAAAGTAGATGCCCAGAATCAGAGAGCATTTTAGTTACACTTACTCTCTGGTCACAGATTGAGGCCAGGGGCCATTTTCCTACACTGACCACTTACCTTGTTGGCCAAGAGCAGGCAAGGCACAGGCTCTCCATTGGGCAGTGTGAGCTTGCTGTCCAGGTCCTGTTTCCATCTCTGGCTGTTACTGAAAGTAGTGGCATTGGTAACATCAAACATAATCACACACGCAGAGGCATCCCGATAGTATAGCCGTGTCATAGATGTGAAACGCTCCTGCCCTGAGAAGAGAGGGGAGTTTTTGAGAAGGTGATCCTAAGAACCAATCCCAGAACCCCCTCTGACACCCTGCCCTTTCTACCTTTGTTGTGGGAGAGAGGGCAGTGTGCATAATGGTTGAGTCCAAGTTCTGTACCCAGACTGCCCAAGTCCTAATCCTTGCTCTGTCATTTACCATCTGTGTGACTTTAGACAAGTCAAGCTTTCAGGGCCTTATATTTCCCAACTGTAAAGTAGGGGTAAAAGCAGTAGCTTTATCATAGGTCGCCGTGAGGATTAATGAGTCAGTGAATCTAAAAGGCTTAGAAAAGTGCTCAGCACATAATAAAGGCTAGCTACTATTATTATTATCTCTATTTTCTGGGAATCTCGTTTCTCATCAAGGTCAGCTGAAAACCTGGAAAAAAGCACCCTCCCCCTGCTGTGGGAGCATCTACCTATGGTCTGGACAATCCACCACCTTACCAGCTCCTCCACACACCTAGAGACTACTCCACACTTATTCAGGGCAAAATATCTGCAGAAAACATCTACAAAAGCACTGCTCATGCGTTCTCAGAGCACCTCCAGCTTCAGAAAAAAACTTCTGGTTTTGCTGACCCACTTTTTCTCTGGGAGCTTTCTGGATAAACCAAAATTTCTTCCCTTGTTCCTATCCAGTCCACCCACCCTACCTGCAATATCCCACAGCTGGAGCCGCACCATCTCTGAGTCAGACCACTGGAGAACCTTCAGAGCGAAATCCACTGAAAATATATGTATAACATAGTTGAACAAAATTTACCTTTAAACAATCCACAGGAAAACTCAGATCAAATATGCAGTCACAACACTAGGGACACACAACTCTTATTCATTCAATTTTTAAGTCCTTGATGAGCTGAGCTGAGCTCACGCTCATGTATTAAATATGGGACAGATCATTCATATTCACCTTCCAAAAAAGGGGGTCTTTAGCTTTTACTCTCTTGTCAAACCAATTTATTGGATACTGCTCGTCTTCAAGGCTGGGGTAAGACGGTGGGGGTAATTATGAAAACAACTCTTAATCTCAGGTTAAACAGTTTCTGGGAGATTTAGGGGGTTTTCTCAGAGAAGGAATGATGGGGTAGAAGCGGGAAATGAGGTAAGTGTGGTGGCTTTTGTGTCTTCCACATTCAATTTCACTCTCGGTTTCTAATCCAATTGTAAAACACACCCTTGGGGAAATTCTACATACTCCGTAAGACTGCAGGAATTATCTTGGGCAGGAATGGGATAAAGTAAAAAGGTCTCAGAGGATTCCCAGAAAGAAGACACTGCATGATGATGCTGGAACCCATTGCCACATATGCAGATGCTGAGATCCCATGAGTTAAGGCTCAATGACTATGCCAGGGGAAGAGCTTTCTCATAAGGAGAGAAATAGGATCATTTTTTTGAGGGTTGGAAATATATTTTTTCACATCTGTGACAGAAATGAAAGCTAGAAGAAATTTAGAATAAACACTAAAAAATTAATTACATTCTTTCCTAAAGGAAAACTAGAGAAATTGCTAAAAATTAACTAGTGGGAGCACTTTTAAACCAATTCCATGAAATAGGGACCCTCATATTATTTAGGAGTTGTGGGCACAGTGGTCAGGAAACAAACTTAAGCCTTTAATTTTGCTGGATGTTCTTGAGGATGTTTTAAATGCAATGTAAATGCTCGTTAACTTTTAAAAACTCCATAATGAACACCAGCACACATTTTCAAAATTTCTATTGGTGCAAGTTTTTTCTTTCCTTTAAAAAAAGTTGTTTTAACGGAGATAAATGTTTGTTACTCTCTCCCTTCATCATCTCTGCCTAGTTCAGCACCCTCTAATTAAACAACAACCAAAAAAAGGCATTTCTACTTCTAAAAAAACAGTCCAAAGACCACATCAGGAAATAAATGAATTAACTCTTCGTGTTCTCTTCCTTCCTTCCTCCCTTCCCCCTGTTTGGAGAAAAAGGGGTGGTAAGTTAGGTCAGAGAAGTGGTATATTTCACATTCTTCAAAGAATTCCTATTAGGCAATCAATGGACAAAAAACACACAGCTCATCAGCCCTGATAAGCCCTGATTGTGTGGCCAAGGGGCTCTCCCACTGAGGCATCCCCAAAACAAACCTAAGCCAGGTAAAACACCTCTCTGCTCTGTCAACAGCTGCCTGGAACTCCTGTGAAAGGCAGGAGAGCAGACCCAGCTGGCACCTCACCAGGCCCTCCACAGGGTCTCAGCGACTTCTGCTGGTCGCAGAGACTTGCCCCTGACCGCTTGCAGGGCTGCAGGAGTTCAGAGTTCCCCAGAGTTCAGGGTTCCCCCGCAAAACGCAGCAATGGCTCATTTTCTCTCCAACTCTTCTCCATGTCTCATCTTCACACCTTCGCCCTATCTTTTCAGGCAGTAAGTTCGGGCTGGGAAGACCTAACTGGGGAAACCCAAGAAGGCATGCAAATCTAACACCCAGCAATTATTCCCTCCAGGATCCCAGACACCTACTTCCTGACCCGAGGAAGGAACCAAGGACACCAAATCCCCCGCTCCCCGCCCCACTGGAGTCCACAGCTCAAGTCGGTGGCACGGGCCTCTTTCCCACCCGCCCCGCCGCGACGGCTCACCTCCCACTGTGGACTTGTAGTGTTTGCTGAAGCTGTCCTGGGAATATCTTTGCACCAGGGACGTCTTGCCCACTGCGGCGTCCCCCACCACCAGCACTTTGAACAGGTGATCCCGGCTGCTCATGGCTAGCGGGATGGACGTTTTAGGGAGGCGGGAAATGGGGGAGTCGCTGGTTTTAACCCTTTTGGCTCCGAACCCCGTTCAAACTGAAGCTCGGCATCCCATTCCGGCTGCTCTGAGGAGAAAACAAAAAGGGAAACTTTGCACTCAACGTTTACGCGCTTCCTCTACGCTCGGCCGCAGCCCTGGGTGGGGCGCAGGGCGCGAACTCCGAGCCCCGGGCAGTTCGCATCTTCTCCCCCTCCCGACCCGGCTGCCGAGAAACGGTAAGAGGCTCGGGGGTGCCTCACCCGCCGGGACTTCCCCTGAGCCGCTCGTTTAGCGAGCGGCTAAACCCAGGCCAGCTCATTTCCCGGTTGGGACCAGAAGATGGGGGCCCTCCCTCCACTGAGCGAAACAAACTTCGAGAAAGGAACGACTCACACCTTAACTCCTAGGACCCAGGATTTGGTGTTCCTCTCGCCTACTCCGACGCGTCACGTGCGGGGTTGCTTGGAGCACTACATTTCCCAGCTTACCTCGTGGCGAAGAGACTCAGCCGAGTGCATAGACTCTCTCGAGATGCCTCCTGGGAACTGTAGTTTATGCAGTATTTTTGTTTTTAAAAACCTACATAGTTTCAAGGCTTTCGAACACCTTCAACCGTTCGAACTCTTATTTTAAAATAATTCTGGAATAGGAAAGCTCCTTCAGAAGCAATTTGTTCGATATGATCTCACCTGCCTAAATCTGTCCACAGATGGATTTCTCATTGTCTTTAAAGGTTTTTAAGGAGCTAAGATTAAAAATGATTCCACAAATTCTATAAATTATTCCACTAATGAAAGCTCAAGCCTCATTCTTCATGCTCCAAGTGAAGTCCATTTCCTATTTTTTCAATTAGGTCCACAAAAGTAGTATCTTGTAAACATGCTAAAAGCCTACTCATATTTCCCCCATGACTCCGACATCAGTCAAGCTCAGGAACGCTTCAAGAGACTGACCCTTACAAAAACCTATGCTGTTAAATGTTAGTTATTAACATTTAATAACTAGCTACAGTAGTAAAGATAGAAAACAAGAGACAGTCCTCAATCTCACTTCCACAATCCCTAGTCTAGCTACACTACTCATATATCATTTGAGCTGGAAACTAATTGGAGGACACTGGGAGTCCTCTTCCATTTGTTGCTGCTGCTGTTCATGAATAATAAACTACGGTTTTGCGAATAATTAAAATTTTTTCAGCCTGTAACTTTTCTGACCTGCCTGTCCTTTAGGTAAGAGTTAAGGCGACATGAGCTTCATGGCAAGCAAAATAAGCTTCGTTTCTTATGCTTCTCTCAGGAATAAAAGAGAAAATAGCAGGGCCATGGGAAAACAGCCTTGCCTGAGTTTGCTGATAGACTACCAGTTACATTCTGTGAGGAAGGAACATCAGCTCGGTTCACAACTCACTTAGCCCAAAATGTTTGTTACCCAGGTCGGGGAGGTCTGGCCGGCTACCTATCTTCCAAGATGTCTCAAACCCCATTCCAATGGTGTTTCATCAATTTCTGGCTTTGACATGGTTAACCACTCCTTGAGTTTGTTTCTCACATGGCTTCTGTTCTTTCTTGTTTTCCCTCTACCTCTCTGATGATCACCTTTTTCTTTCACGGTTTCTTTCCATCCCATCACCCGCTAAGTATTTCCTTAGACTTTACTCTTAGCTGATCATTCTTTAAACTCTTTAACTTTAGTGAATTGCCCTTGGCCTCAAATGTCTCTCTGAGTCTTGAAATTTTTTTTATGTCTTTATAGCCAATCAGTTATATTCAACTGCCATAAAGGCGCCACCACTTGAAAATCCTGCCACAGCCTGCCTCTCACCAATCACTGTGAAAGAGCTCCTTTTTTCAGCATTTCGATTTCTGTCACTGGCCTCATTATTTCTTCCTTCCACTCAGTCTTCAGACTTCAAATACATTTTTTTAAATTTATTTTATTGTGGTAGGAATACTTAACATGAAGTCTACCCTCTTAACACACTTGCAAGTGTGTGATATGATATAAAAAAATAGAAAAAGTTAAGCGTGCAATATAGGTACAATATTGTACAGCAGATCTCCAGAATTTATTCATCTTGCTTAACTGAAACATATGCCTATTGATTAGTAACTCCCCATTTCCCCCTCCCCTACCGCTTGACAACCACTATTCCATTCTTTGATTCTATAAATTTGACTATTTTAGATACCTCATCTAAGCAGAATCATGCAGTAGTCTTTCTGTAACTTGGTTGTTTCACTTAGTGTAATGTCCTTGAAGTTCATCCATGGTTTTGCTCATTGCAGAATTTGCTTCTTTTTAAAAGCTGAATAATAGTTCATTGTATGCATATACCATTTTTCTTTATGTATCTATCTGTTGATGGACATACCTTGGCTATTGTGAATGGTGCTGCAATAAACTCAAGAGCGCTAACTTTTTTTCAAGATCCTGATTTCCGTTCTCTTAGATAAATGCCCAGAAGTGGGATGGATTGCTGGATCATATAGTAGTTTTCCATCAGGGTGACACATTTTGTATTCCCACCAACAGTGTGCAAGCGTTCCAATTTTTCCACATCCTCACCAACACTTGTCTTTTAATTTTTTTTTTTTTTTTGATAATAGCCTCCTGGCAGGTATGAAGTGATATTTCATTGTGGTTTTGACTTGTATTTCCCTGATGGTTAGTGATGTCGAATATTTTTTCATATACCTGTTGGCCATTCGTATGTCTTCTTCGGAGATGTTATTCAAATGTTTGGCTAAGTTTTTAATCACATTGTTTTTTTTTCTATTGTAGACCTTGAGAATTATTAACATTTCCTTTTATACACTTTCCTTTGTAGTCTCCTGCCTTTTAATCAGTCACTACATCTTACTGATTCTTCCTTCAAAAACATTTCTCCCACCTATCTTTTCTGCTTCACATCCATTACCATTTTGCTAGTTCAGGCTTTCATTATCTCACACTTGGATCATCTTCAATAACCTGTTTATTTATTTATTATTTTTTTATTAAAAATTATTGGGGGGGGTGACATTGATCAACAAACTCCAATAAGTTTCAAGTGTACAATTCAACGGTATGTCATATATATACTGCATTGTTTGTTCACCACCCATAGTTAGATTTCCTTCCGTCACCAAATATTTGACCCCTTGACCCCTATCTATCTTTCCCCCCAACTCCTTCCCTCTGGTAACCACTAATCTACTGTCCATGTCCATGTGCCTCTGTTTGTATGTCATGGTTGTTTGGTGCTTTTAGATTTATATCCCATATATGAGTGATATCTTGTGGTTTTCAACTTTTTCTGTCTGACTTATTTCACTTAGCGTGATTATCTCAAGATCCATCTATATCATCGCAAATGGCAGTATTTCATCTTTTCTTATAGCTGAGTAATATTCCATTGTATGTATGTACCACATCTTCTTTATCCAATCATCTATGACAGGGCACTTCGGTTGCTTCCATGTCCTGGAAATCTGTGAATAACACTGCTATGAATATCAGGGTGCATATATCTTTGTGGATTAATGTTTTCAGTTTTATTAGGTAAATACCCAGAGGAGCGATTGTTGGATCATGTGGTAATTCAATTCTTAATTTTTTGAGGAAACTTCGAACTGTTTTCTATAGTGGTTGTACCAATTTGTAGCTCCACCAGCAGCGTATGAATAATCTGTTTATTGGCCTCCCTGATTCTAGTTCCTTTTCTCTTAATTCATCTTACGCAATTGATCAAGATGGTTTCCCTAAAATATCATTGTTTGTTCTTTTATCGTCTATCAACTATCCCAAAACTGGCCAACATCCTTGAGCTGGTGTCCAAAACTTTCTATGCACTGGCCCCATCCTGCCTAATCATTTTTATCTCAAAGTTGAATTATCTTGATCTCAAAGGAGAATTCCCTCCTTCCCCTCAACAGAGTGTAGGTGTATTTCTTCCATAGTAAGTTGCGGTTTCCCAGAGAGACAGTTATAAGTAAGAGAGGGAAAGCTCACTCAGAGTGCCAAACAACTAATCTGCACACATACATGCTTAGAACACAGTTTTTTGGAAGTCGGGGAAAGTGGTCAGCCTTGCTCTGCTATTGTCATACTTCTTATAGGTGTCTGCCTCTCTCCTTTTTACTTCTCATTTTTTATTTTAAAAAATCTCAAATCCACAGAAAAGTTAAAAGAAGAGTATAGTGCACACCAGTATGTCCTTCAGCTGGATTTCCAATTACTAACATTTTGCCATGTCTGCTTTGTCTCTGTGTGTCCTGAACCATTTGAAAGTAAGTAGCACGCACTTCATCCCTAAATACTTCAGCACACAGCTCCTAATAATGAAATTCTCTTACAAAACCACTTAAGAAAATTAACTTTAGCTCAATAATACCATAAACAGTCTAAATTTACATTTATCTATTGCCCTCGAAATAGTTTTTTTCTCATACCCACATCCAAAATACAAAGTTCATGCATTACATTTGGTTGTTTTACTTCTTTAGTCTTTTTAAACCTAGAACTATGCTGTGTCCAATACGGGAGCCAGTAGCCATGTGTGGTTATTTCAATTAATTAAAGTTAAACAAAAAATCAGCTCATTAGTCACACTGGCCACATTTCAAGTGCTCAATTGCCACATGTGGCTAGTGGCTACTATATTGAAGAGCTCAGATACAGACTATTTCCATCACCACAATAGTTCTATTGGATGGCATCAGTCTATAATAATCTCCTGCCCACCTCCCCACCTTTTATTGCTTTTCATAACATTAAATTTCTTTTTAAAGAGTCTACACCATTGTCTTGAAGAAAGTCCCACATTCTGGATTACCTTGATTTTTTTCTCAGAATTAGATTCTGGAAAAACGTTTTTGGCAAGAGCCCTTTGCAGAGGATGTGGTATATATCTTATTATATCACTAATTTCAGATGGCTGTTGGTGATGCCTACATTATGAATTCAATAAACACTTATTAAAGGAATGACCTCACCCAGAAATCTCCCAAGGACTTGGGAGCTTGACTTCTAATAGAAAAGAAAGAGTTCATTGAATCTTCAGAGTCTCCATCACTGTGCTGGGAACAGAGTGGAAAAATGCTTTGTAACATGAAAGGGAGACTGAAGTGACACAGCAAGTGGCCTGGCAGGATGGAGGAGAGGGATGAACCTAGAGAAGGGTGAGGCCATGGGGCTACAGCTGTCTCTCCGCCCCAAACTCCAGGCTCATTTTAATAATCTCAACTTTTCGGTGATTGCTATGGGCACAGGAAGCAGCTTGGTGAGATGCCTGTGACCCAGCTAAGCATTCAGCTGGAAGGCTCAGCAGCAAGGTACCCTAGGAAACCCTCTACAGGGAGAGAGGCTGGCAGGCTCACAGAGCAACTTGCTGATCACTCCTCTGTGGGCTTGTGTCCAAGAGGTGGCGGCTAGCTCTGAGCCTGGGAGAGCCTAGGAAAAACACCGAACTATAGTTTTTACTGCTTTTGTCGCCACGTTTGCCTCCTTTCATGGATATTCTCCTTTCCACCCCAAACAAGGACCAAGTGAAACGATAGGGAAAGGGCA